TGAGCAGTCGATTCTGCTAGCATATCTTCATATGGAACTCTAAAGGGAGGTTTGAAGCCCTTGACTGCAGCATCCTTGGCGGCAGAGTCCGCCGCCTCGTTGCCCGGAATTCCAACGTGAGCCGGAATCCAGAAGAAAGTGACGACTTTGCCTTGTTTAGTAGCTTCGAAAAGTGCTTGTTTAATATAATAAATTATATAATTTCGATGGATTTTTCGAGTATTACAGAGTGCTTCCAATGTACTTTTTGAGTCTGAGAATATAACACACTTAGAAATGTCCAAATCCAGAATCGCCAAAACAGCTTGATATATGGCCCACAGCTCAGCGGAAAAGATGGAGGTGCTGGCTGGCAGTTTGTGTCTGATGTCCCCGTTCATGCTGGGGGAGACGACGGCAGCTCCAGTGTAGCCTTCATCACTCTTCGATCCATCCGTGTAGAAAGATGTAGCATTCTGCCTAAGTTGAAAGGATTTGTGATAAAAATCAGCTTTAGTTAGAAGTTTATCATTTTTGTCAGACCCCTGCATGACATCAACATAGCCAAGCTTAAGCGAGAAAACCTCGTATGAATACCAGAAGGCCGGTGGAAAGGTGGTACGATATACTGTTCTTTTTTCGCCTCGAGTGGTAACAAAATACTTGAAGAGCCTGGAATTCTTAATGGCTTCAATTTTACACTTCCTTCTTGTGGCAATAATTTCCATTTCCTCCAGGGAACGATATACAGGGCTACATTTACTAGCCATAGCTTTGTAGATGAACTTGGAGGCAGTCAGGTTTAGCCTAATGCTGAAGGAGTGTTCCTTAGCCTCGGCGAGCATAACATTGATAGGAGTTGAAATGCGATATCCCATAGCCTTCCTGATAATTTTATATTGAAGCCGCTGTAGTTTTACAAATTCCGCCGAGGATGATTTCCACACGAAAAATTGGCACCCATACTCAACAGCACTGCGAAAGGTGGATCTATAAATAGTAAGAAGGAGACCAGGATGGGAACCCCAGACAATACCTGAAAGCGTGCTAATTATGTTAGAGATCTTTCTTCCTTTTTCAATAAGGTACTCTAGGTGCTCCTTACCCTTGAGATTCTGATCGAGAATGACGCCCAAAAAACGATGACTGGGGACTCTAGGAATCACTTTACCGTCCATACTAATATCCAACGAGATCTTAAGATCTCTCTTTCGCGAGAAGGCTATCCATTTAGACTTATGCGGTGAAACTTCCAGATTTCTAAATTTAAGGTAATTATAAATATTGTTAAGAGAGTTTTGGATAGATTCCATGGCAACCGCAGGATCACGATGCGAAGAATAAAGAACAACGTCATCCGCGTATTGTAGCAAATGGGACCCAGGATGCAAATGCTGATTAATATCCTTGAGGTAGATATCGAATAAAAGAGGGCTCAAAGTAGATCCCTGGGGGGTACCCTTGAATGCGCGAAAAGGTCCTTGGATTTCGCCGTCAACCACAAAAGACAAATCTCTACAACTGATTAGATTCTCAATGAATTTCCTGAATAACGCAGGCACTCCGACATCAGCCAGATCCCCCAAAAGAAGAAACGGGTCGACGCTATCGAAGGCCCCCGCTACATCCAAGAATACAGCAATGGTAACGGATTTCTCTAGGAAGCCAGATCTAATCGCCGTAGTCAAAACTGCAAGATTATCGTCACAGGATCTAAATGGTCTAAAACCCGCTTGGGACTGGGGGAGGATAGGTCTAGATTCGACGAACCAAACCAACCTCCGATATAAGACTCTCTCCATGAGTTTACAAACACAGGACATCAATGAGATGGGCCTTACAGACTTACCGTCAGCTTTAGGAATTAACACAACCAGAGAAGACGTCCATGAGTCAGGGAAAACCCCCTGAGAGAAAATCTCATTAAATAGCGATAGAAGATAATCCAAGTGTTGAGCAGGCAGCAAATCCAGCAACTCATAACTAATTTGATCGAGCCCGGGAGCTGATTTTTTCCGAACTGTCAGTATTGCAGAGGATAACTCATCAAAGGTGATAGGATCATCCAGCCATTTGCATACCTCGGGGTTACGCGAGTCATCGGCCTTCATATCAGAAAGTGTTGTAGATCTATCAAAGTAGGCAAAGGGCGGACACAATTTGGAAATAGCATCTGAGGAAGCCTTAATAAGTTCACATTGCGCAGAGGGCGACTTAGTTGAGGAGGCTTTCCTTTTGAAACTTTTTATCAACGCCCAGATCTGACTCGTAGGAGTCTTGGAGTTAAATCCGCCGACAAAAGTCTGCCAGCCTTTGCGCCTTTGCTGAGAAAGAATTTTTAAACACTCCCTACGAGCCCTGCGAAATCCTTGAAGGCTTTCCTCGCTTGGCGTGCGTATCAATCTTCCAATTGCCTCCCTCCTGAGGCCAACCGCCTCAGTGCACAAATTATTCCACCACGGGGGAGGTTTCAGTTTCTCCACTCCCACAGAAGAACGCGGAAGCCTCTTGTTTTCAGGAAAGAACTCCCTGACACACTCGATAAGATTCTTGGTGAAATCTTCATAACATCCCAGGACATTACCCTCAGTTAAGGAGGAAGAATCACAGACACTACTAAATAACTTGTCAAATATCGCCTTTTTAAGCTCCTCATCCTTAAGGGGCAACTTATAATAGAATTTTCTCTGAAGAGCAAGCCCAGCACCGACCGTAGTAACAACTGGAAGATGATCACTGCCCAAAGAGTCACTCTCAATGAATGTATCACAGCTAAGAGCCAGTTGGGGGGACGCCAAAGCCAAATCCAGAACAGAGGTCGACGATGTACCTAGAAAAGTAGGTAACTTACTGTTATTGAGTAGAACCAAATCATGCCTGCACATGATCTGATATATTTTCCTCCCCGAGGAAGACTGTCTTTGAGATCCCCAAGAGGTGTGGTGAGCATTAAAATCACCAACGATTATAAAGTTTTTGTAACACTCCAATTTGCATATTAAATTCTCGAAAAATACGAGGGGGGTAATTTGTCCGGAGTGTCTATAAATATTGACAATAACTATAGGGTCCTTCTTAAAGCAATGGGCCAATATAACAAGATATTCAACAGATGGATGGGATAAATCCTCAAAAACAATTGTTTCAAATCTGATGTTATTACGTATGATAGTACAAATGCCACGATCACCGATCTGTTTAATATCGTTTCTAGCAACAGTGTAACCTTTGATGTTGAGGCTATTGTTTTCTTTAAGAAGGGTTTCCTGGATACATAAAAAGTCATACCTATCGATTAACTCCAGAAGGGAGGGAAGATTGTGCCTTATACCATAACAATTCCATTGAAAAATTTTAAACTGGCCACTACTAAGCTTCATATTATTATTATGGGTTTTATTATATCGACGAGGGTTATGTATAATACTAAGACCGGAATGTCGAATTCTTTGCGGGGATGAAGTTGTAGAAATTAACGTAGGCGTAAGCCCTTTCGAGGGGGGTGAAAGACAATCATTAGGCATAGTCGAGACGTGTAATGGTAAAGAGTCGGATGGATTCAAATAATACTGCGAGTTTGAGAATTTATCTCCGAAAACAGGTCTCACAATCCGAATCGTATGCGCATTCAAAGGCTTCATCGTACAAACTCCTGGGTTTATCTTTTTCAGCCTTTCCAGAACGGAAGAGATTTCCGAGATTCTCTAACAGAGCCATAATATCTTTAAATGCGTTGGTTAAATCGTTATTAAGAAAATGCGTAAAAGTATATTCTTGGCTATGGAAAACAAGCCGGAGAAATCAAAGCCAAAGCCAGATTCCTTACCGTAATCTGCGCCAAGGCGCGGCCTCTGAGGGAGGGAGTCTTTTTGGAAAGCAACACCATTACCAGATGAATAGGGTATTTTGCCATTGATCTCATGGAGGACTTGCTGATGAGCTCCCGCATCATAGCCAGGACCGGCAGAAACAGTTGAACGAGCAGGCCTTTGCTTGGAAAAGTGCGGAAGAACGTGATCCCTGGAAATATTACTGCTATTGTTGATTAGAGTGGGGATGCGAACGAGATCCCAATACCCCTGCATATGTTTGATATGTATCACCAGAATCGATTCCGTCTAAAACAGAGAAATTATTATTGTTTAATTCTGCAAAACCATGATCGTGCTTGCGAGAAATATTGGGAAAATTAGCATCACTTCTAATCAAATGAGCGGGTTGGGAGGAGTGAGGGGTGGAAGATCCACCTTGAATGCGAGATTTAGCATCAGCAATGGATATATTCTCAAGAGCCGCAGTTTTAACAATAGCTTTCTGATTAACAATTAGTGGGCAGACGCTATCATTTGCCCAATGACTTCCTTGGCAATTGATGCACTTTGGAGATTCATCCTTCATATGACACGTATATCCTGAATCGGTGTTGCCAGTAGTATTATGTTTGCCTTCGCCGCAAAATAAACATCTGGGAGAGCTCTTGCAGGTTTTGCTTACGTGTCCTATTCTATAACACGAATGACACATCCTTGGCAGAGGAATGTACGGACGAACAGCGTGCCTGACTTTAAATATAAAAATTTCCTGCGGTAACAGTTGTCCTGCAAACTTAACCCGGAGTGTCCTGGAAGGAAGATATTCAACTTTATTATCACGAACGACTCTGCGATTGAGTCTCTGTATATCGATGATTCTGGCCCTGGAGGATTCAATGTCTTCTTTGATATTATCAATGTCAATCTGTTGTGGAACATCTTGAATTATACCCGTTCTGAGAACTTTATAGGCTGGAATGAATGCTTTCAAATCATTTTGAGGAAAAGCTTGATTCTCAACTAAGCGATTAGCTGCGGAAGCAGATTTGACTTCAATTAAAACTTTACCTCGACCGATTTTTTTAATTTCTAAAATGTCAGGGATTCCAGATTTGACAATTAACCTACTGATAAGAGTAGGATGTATAGCATTGTCCCTATTAATAGGGTAGACATAGACGACAAAAGGCCCGGGGTCTCGGACACTATATCGAGGCGAAATTCTTTGTCCAATGGTAAGATTATGCTGTCTCGCGCTGCCGCCCGTGTTTGTAACACCACTAACCTGAGTTTGAGTGTTCCTAATTGTGCCAATAGCAGTATCAGAAGAAGAGGCACTTGCGCATGCGCTTGGAACACGCTTGGCGGGAGATTCCTCTATGATTCGAGCGGGCTCACCTTCAATAGTATCTCGAATTTGCCGTTTTCTTGCGAGCTTAGGCAATTCGTCGATGTCCATTGGGGATGAACAGGTGCTGCGGATGTTTTGAGCAGATGTTATGATACTCGCATTATCTGAGACGGAGAGATTCTCGTCTGACACAACAACGAAATTAGCATACGCATTATTCGAAGGGGGAAAAGAGGGGGCACAAGTGCTCGATTCTTTATCGGTGGCTTCAATTAAGAGCTTAGAAGAAGCATTAATGACATCAGGGGAATCTGATGGCATAGATGGGGAAGAATTGATTGGAGATGGAGAGTCAGGGATTAAAGTAGAAGGTTTAAGGGAAAAACCGGCGCCCGGCACGGGTGAACGAAAGATCGTTTCTCCCCCCCCAGAAGACGAGGCCATGCCGCCTCGCCTCAAGAAACACTGCACTAATTCAACTAAGGGACTTTAATCGACTAAGAGGAACAAAAGAAACGCCCACAAGGGACGAGAAAATACGCCCGGCCAAAAACACGAAACCCTGACGCACTAAATACGCGAAAAACGCAGGAACGATTCGACGCACGTCCGACACTGTAAGCGTCCCTAGCGGGAACCCCCGTAACACCAACAAACAATAACGAAATACAACCACAGACAACAACGAACAGTATACCGGTCATAGACTTGACCGAAACCGAGACTCTTCCCCTTCCAGACTCTACATCACTCCCTTTTCCTCCTCTAATCCCAATTTCATATTCCCCCGTTCCTTTCGAACCAAATATTTCTATTAACGAGTTATACCTCGATTTAGAGGAATACCTCAACACTCAATCTCCCTTTCCCTCACCAGACACATCATTCATATACAAGCCGTATCTCACAATTAAAAAATATTAAAATAATTTATAGAAATGTTAAGTTCGATTAATTAATAGTTCACTTTTAAATTGTTAACTATGCATTAAGAATAAAAATCTTGTCAACAAAAAAAAAGAATATTAAAATAATTTATAGAAATGTTAAGTTCGATTAATTAATAGTTCACTTTTAAATTGTTAACTATGCATTAAGAATAAAAATCTTGTTTTACGTTTATTCCTGTAATTTACTCAGAACCTCCCTCGACTCATTCCTCATCCCACTAAGTCGCACGGTCCGATCCCTGATCAAAAGAATTAAGTTCCTTGATCTAAAAGGGGACCGACGGAGACACAGTCGCAGGACTGGGTAATAGCGTCGCACGCTGACGTTGACCCATATCTGTGACCTTATTGCGTCTCCGACTTGTGGCACGCGTCTTAAAGCGTCTGCCCCAAGAGCGGTGTCAGTTGCGTCCTCCCGTCCCCTCTCTTCGATTCCTAAATTTTCCTATCCAATAAAGAATCCTGGGGCTTGGACGTAACACAAATATAGAGTAACATTACCGAATCGCACTACCCCGCCTAAAAATTAAATTATTGCACTTATACATCTTCTTATATATTATTTAAGAACTATATGATACCACAACGCTTCTGTGTTACATTAGTGATATGGTAAGAATGTTGTTACTTAATATAATGATGTAACGATGCATCCCTCCCACGCATCGTTCCGCCAAACGTCAGCCGGCCGAACGCCGCTGCATCGCCCTGCGATGCAGCGATGAGGGCGCATAGCGCCCGAAAATATAACACAAACATAATCCACAGGTACCAAGCAACGACGAAAACCACCGAACGTCGCCGAGCGCGATCGGTTGTTGCAGACCCCCACCGCGCAACGATTAACGCTCCGCGAAACGAACCGAAATAAGACGAGCGCGATTTCCACAGATAGATAAAACGTCGCGTTCGTGGCAAAACGAGACCAATCTTTCCTGCTCCGTTTCCGAGGAAACATTCCCAGAGTCCTAAAGCCGACCGAGTCAAGGAAAATGAGCCAGAGAGTACTCTAGCCCGACCGGGCGTTCCCGGTAGACGAAAATCGGCATCCTCACGTACCGCACGACACAACAGGGGGTAGAGGGTACTCTACCTCCGCCGAGTGTTCTCGGTAGTCGCGCGGTACACCATAGCGACTACCCCGACGTACGGGGGTGGAGGGTACTCCGCCTCCGCCGAGCATTCTCGGCCGTCGGCTAGCGTCGCCGTTATTTTACGTGCTTCCACGCGGTCGCCCAGTAATAGTACGGGGTGGAGTGTTCTCCGCCTCTGCTGAGTGTTCTCAGCCACTGGACTCCCGTGGAATCCGTCGCGAACTAACCGGCACTCGAACGTGCCTACGAAACACCGCCGCGAACTACCCGACGCGATCTCCAGTAATTGACAGCAATCAGCTGATTAGCTATAAGAAAGCAAACACGATACAAATAGACCATCTCGCGATATAACACAGTGGCAAGCATTCGCGCTACCACTACACTACACACTCACACAGACACGTCAGAGAATTATAGCTAGGTATTCGCGCCGACCGGCCTAGCCGGCACTTTGTAAACACAATCGCATACACACGCACACACACATACGCATCACTCATATTTGTACATAGCCGTAAGAAACGAGCAAATAAAAAACTAGATATCGCTTTCACTATAAAAACGTCTGAGATCTTTTTCTTTGTGCACTCTTCCCCGATCGAACCTCTTTCGAATCCTGAGATACGTGAAAACGACGAGCTAACTCCGCGCAGTCGAAAGTAAGGTCGTTACAATAATAATAAATAAAAGAACCGCGATAATGTTTTTTCTATTTAAGGGGTAACACTACTGTAAAGTGTGAAAATGAATCGTATTTTTTTTGGGTGGAAGGAAAAGGAGATTTTGTAATCTTTTTGTAAAAAGATTACAAAATGGCGGCTTAGGAGTTATTCCCACAAGACAGGTATTATTCGAGGAGCTCCGCGGCAAGCAGCATAAGTGCCGCAAAAATGAATCTGGAGCAAAATAAAAAATTTATTCTTAATCTACATGATAGTCCAGTCAAATTGTCGGAAAAATCGACTTTGCCTTGCAAAAATTGGAAAAAGCGATTTTCTTTTTCTGGCATGTGGAGGGGGGTCTAAAAAAGCTTAACTCTAAGTTTTCGAAGTGATTAAGGAAGAGGAAAATTTTCTACGCTTAAAAACCCCCAAAAAATTTGTTTTTCGAATAACTCGGCTTCTATTGAAGATTTTTGAAGTTATAAAAGCTCATTTTGTAGGTTTTTTCATGCTCTACAAGTTATCTCTTTAACTTTTTTCTCTACGATGGATAGTTCGCGAAATATTTTACTAAAAGTACGAAAATTCAGATTAAAAAAAAGGTTAATTGGCCTTTGATCGGTCATATCTCGTTTCCTACCACATTTATCGAAAAACGGTTCAGACAAAACTTGTAGCATTTGTAAATACCTTTAATTTAAGCCGTGTCTCGATCGATTTCGTCAAATAGAACGCTCTATAGAGCGGCGCAAAGTTGCAAGGTCGATGCGTGTCGTCACGCGGAACGCGCGTAATTGCGAAACATGCTGCAGATAAATGATGTCGTCGGCTTTTTAAGCCGAAATATAGTTTCTTTTTGCATATATTTATATTTTTCTTGTGTTTAGAAATATGTAACTAAAACTTGCGTCAATATAATAATTAATAATAATTCATGCAACATTATTAATGTATAATAATTAATGTAACGCGTCGTAATGAAGTTATTAATAGTATATAATTATTTATTTCTTTGCTATTATTATTAATAATATTAATGTTAATTAATGTTAATAGTATTATTTATTGTTTCTTATTTAATATAACTCTTACGTTTTGATTCTTTTTTACATCACCGAAAAATATAATATTAATATTGATACGTAAATAAGAAACAATAAATAGTACTATTAACATTAATTAACATTAATATTATTAATAATAATAACAAATAAATAAATAATTATATACTAGCTATTAATAACTTCATTACGACGCGTTACATTAATTATAATTAATTATAATTAATGCTATTATTGTTAATAATATTAATGTTAATTAATAACTATCCATATTTCAATTATTTTGATGGCTAAGAATGATGTAATATTTATAAAAACAATGTTATCGTCAAATTAAAATAACGAAATTGAATTTTAAACATCAAACAACATGAATTTGTAACCAGCGACTCAAAAAAAAAAAATAAGTACCAAGTTTGAAGTAATTTCGATCGATTTCCACAAATTCGTCCTCCATATTGGATCCGCCATTTTGAATTTTGAAAAACTAACTTTAAATTCGGAATCAGCGAGCCCAAAAACCCCCGGGTACCAAGTTTAAAGTGATTTCATTCGAGTCAGTCGATTGAGTACACGCGACTATAATTTTGAAAAAAAAATCGACTTTAGTAACCATTTCTGAGCCGCCATTTTGAAAAAATTCTTTTTTCTAATGAAAAAAGAAGGTAGAAGTAATCTTCTACCTTCTAGCCCAAACATTTTTGACGCGAAATTTATACCCATCTGAGATATTCTGATACGGGTAATGATAAAAAAATTACGATAAGTGAAAAGAAAACCTAAAAAAATCGTGATTTTTGTTAAATAAATGCTCGTAGTTTGTTTATTTTTAAATTTGTAGCAATTTGCGATACACTATTCGAAAGAGCGGGGTTTGGGCAATAAAAAACGTCCATTCCAAAAATATTTTTATTGCGTTTTAATACAAAAAAGTACTGTCAAACTTTATATTAAATTTATGTACATTTGGTCCTTAATGGGTTAAAAAGCCGACATCATTTATCTGCAGCATGTTTCGCAATTACGCGCGTTCCACGTGACGACACGCATCGACCTTGCAACTTTGCGCCGCTCTGTAGAGCGTTCTATTTGACGAAATCGATCGTGACACGGCTTAAATTAAAGGTATTTACAAATGCTACAAGTTTTGTCTGAACCGTTTTTCGATAAATGTGGTAGGAAACGAGATATGACCGATCAAAGGCCAATTAACCTTTTTTTTAACCTGAATTTTCGTACTTTTAGTAAAATATTTCGCGAACTATCCATCGTAGAGAAAAAAGTTAAAAAGATATCTTGTAGAGCATGAAAAAACCTACAAAATGAGCTATTATAACT